ATTATTGAATCGGCTACCTTGAAAAGAAGTCTGGTCCTCAACTTTTCTCGAACTCCACACAACGGTGCTCCTCTGTCGCCATTAGCTCTGGTGCAAACCTAGAGAGGCTAGTAAAGGTTGCCTTAAACTTAGCTACAGGCATGTTAAGCTGCTTGAGCATTGAGAATTGCTCCCTCAACTTCTCCCTAACCGTGGGAGGTAAGAACTTGTTCTGAAAAGCGTTGACAAAGGCCTCCCAAGTCACCCCAATGCACCCACGTACATACTTCCACCACTGACCTACATCTCCCTTCAACTAGAGTCGTCCTTAATGCCAAGCATCTCGAACGTCTTCACTATCTCTTCTAGCCACTCATCCGCCTTCAGTGGCTCCTTAGGGTTACCCAAAAAATCGTCTGGGTCAGACCGGAAGAACTCCATCTTTAAGAACGACGGCCCTACCTCAGCTACTTGGCCTGGACTTGATTCTTAGCCTTGAGAATGTCCATGGATTCCCACAAGGCCCCGGCCATTTCATGGGCCAAAGCGCCAATGGCCTGTTGACGAACTGATTCTGCCATGTTGGCCAAAACAAGCCCGTTCTCTTGTGCCAAAATCTCATCTAGTAAAGGCACCTCATGCCTTCTAGGCCTACCACGCCTACCACCACCACGTCCACATCCACATCCACGTCCTGACATCCTAATAAAGGTAAGCACATTTACAAATGTGCCGAAGCTAACTCACTCGCGTCCTAATGCGATGGACAACAGTAATTCACTCAATATAAGCACATAATCACATAAACACATACGAATTTCTTTCCTAGATAATGATCATCCCGCGACATTGCTAGAGTTCCAATTAGAAATAGCAATGATCAAGTGCTCTTCTAATAGGACTTCTAGAAACCTGTAGACTCAATCAATATCTTAGGAACTAAATCTCATACCCATATAACCACATAAGCATGTTATCACATAAACATACCATACATATAAATATCTCTATTAAGTGAGACAAATCCATTGTGGTAATAACCACTTCCCATATACCCAAAGTATTCAAACCTGGTACGCTCTGATACCAAGTTGTAATGCTCTGAAATAAACACAATATACCCATCTCATAACAACCAATAAATAGCAACATAAATGAATTGATAAGCTTTCATTAATCAGAGTTTATATACAAAATGTGACACATGTGATATACATTCATAAACAGTACATCCTGAATCTACAACTTGTGTTATAAGATTGTGAAAAGAAACGAAAGCTAAACAGATAATCATATGCCCTAAAGGCTTACATCTTTCCAAGTTAATGCTTGAGTACATCAAAAGTGAGTCTTAAGCTCAATACTGATAAAGCCCTAATCTTGTTCAAAATTAAATACAAAATAACAACACTGAGCCTTCAGCTCCACAGTCTTCTCAAGCTAAGTCCTTGGTGGAGGCATATCACTAACACCTGAAAATAGTTTTTCTCATATAGAGTGAGCCAAAGCCCAGTAGAAACACTACAACACAACGTATAAATCTTAACAAAGCCATAAGGTTTTATGCATATGCAATGCCAGTACCAAAACATTTATATCATTTTTTAAAAGTCGTGCTATGCCAAGTTTATATCACAATTCACAAAACCATGCTCTTTACAATAGAAAGAAATGGGAAATCTCAAACCAATACAATCTTTCATGGATATTTCGTATGCGGGAAACTGTCAAACAGCACCCATGTAAACGTAGCATATGCAAGTGCTACTATTGTCATTTTACGGATATTTCATCCGCGGGAATCAGCACCCATGTACACGCGCATTTTTCAGGACTTTTACTCAGAACACACAGGCCAACTTGATTTGGTGATACACATTTCTTTCCCATATTCACCACTTTTTTCTCAAAATCATATACATTTTCAATGTATTAAATAAGCAATAATATTCAATGCACAAGGATGAGAAATTAGTTTTAATTCACCTAATGCTCATGCAATTTCTACAACACTCATAACTATCTTCGACCGATAGCTCAAAACAGATATCTCTAAACAGAAAAATAAACTTTATTAAAGATACATTTTTCCAAAATATTAAGATGGGAGTGATAATATATATCTAACTCCGCCATCATCATCAACATTACTTCAATTTTATAATTTTCAACATTAAGTCTATTTTCTCTTTACAATCTCAAACATTCACATTTTAGGGCAAAATCTCTTTCTCTTTGAAAATCAATTTCAATTTATGAAATATCTTATTTCAACATATATCAACTCCAATTTCATACCCACAAGCTTTTCCAAGAAACTAATTGAAAACCCCTCCTTTTCATTTTAATTTCAAACCTCAGGTTTTACCAAAAACCCTTAAACCACTATAATCCTTTGAAATAGCAAATAACTAAGGTAAAACTCATACAAGAGTGTAAAGAATCTCCACCTCGAAGCTAGAAGACGAAAGAAAGAATGAAGACTCCAACCACGCCAAAACCCAACTTTGTTCGGATCAAAATGAAGCTCTAGGTGAGCTCTACGTTTTTAACAAAAGCATACGGGGATAAAGATCGACGGATCTAGATGGATTCAAGTAAACTAGATGAGTTTTAGAGAGAGAGTGAGAAATATCAGTGTTTTGAAATGTTTAGAGAGAGAGAGAGATGTGAAAAAGTGATATAAAAAATGACTTTTACGAACTGATATATGCAAAGTTCGCTCGAGCGTAGAAAGTGTCGCTCGAGCAACTAGGCACAATAAGTTGTTCCACTCGAGCGTAAGAATCTTCGCTCGAGCGTAGAATACTATCTCCTAAAAGTTTTACAAACAGAAGACCATCGCTTGAGTGCAAGAAACTTCGCTCGAGCGGAGAATACAAACTCTTAATATTTTTGCAGACCTGCAAAAGTACTGGAGGCTCACAAAGACCGCTCGAGCAAAGGGATAAAAATCTGGACAACAAAAGTTTTAAAACAAACTACCAACTTGTTCCAAACGCAATCAACACATCCAAAAAGCAAAACTCAAAGAGATATAAGAGGAAACAAGACATGGATAATTATATATGACAATGAAACCCGGATCTAAAACATCAAATGGGTCGGGTCTGAACCAGAAACACTACAGCACAGATGATACCTATACAATTTTTTTATGCTCAGAACACCCAAGGCAGGACCCTTAGAATCCACCCGTACAAGCCAAACTAGGAGAAGCTGGTCGATCCACCTATACCTATACAATTAAAATAAATAAAAATAAAACAAAACTTTTTCAATATATGTTTTTCTTTGCAAGTGATAAAAGTCTTATTTATTAAACTTAAGGTCTAAGGTTTGAGTCTTACTCTTCACAATTATCTTCTTCTTCTTCTTCTTCTTCTTTTTTTTTTTTTTGTCAAATAGGAAAATGAGAACACGTGGCATAAGAAGAAGCCACCAAAGTTTAGAGACCAAGTGAGTTGTTCACTTTTAATAATAGTAAAGATGGATAGATAGATTGATTAGAATTTTGATACTATTAGTAATTATACTCTTTTCTTTTAAATTTCACTTTGGTTGATGAAAGAATAATATTGTAACTAAACATAAAATATTGAGTTCAAATTGAAACTAGAGAAAGTAAATTGACTCTACGTAAATTATGATAACTATAATTTATCCATTTATTCAGCTTTAAAATTTTGCGAAACAACTACGTACTAGCTTTTACTTGTCCATGTTGTAAGCAAGACTACCAAACAGCTTTAAAAAGATAAAAAACAACATACAAGAAAAAAATAAGGTCTCAAAGGACCAGACAAGAAACCTAACCTAAACTACAAACAATATTAGTTGCCAAAAAAATCAACCACACTTTAGAAAAAATCACAAATCTTCTCATAAATATGGTTTGAAAAAATAAGATATGATCTGAACCAGATCGACAAAACCACCAATCAGGGTGTCCCTGCCGCTGCGCGTTGAGACAAACAAACAATTGAAGTATTGCATGGCTGAGTTGAGTAATTTACTCGATGAAATTGTTAAAGGTTTGATATTTTCAACTTCTATCTGTAACTCACTAGACGAATTCATGCTGAATGCATACTCCATTTGCATTCTACCATTGTTAAACTGTTAACAATGAGTGTGCAATTCATATCATTAGCCTATTCGGTTGTGTTTTTGTCTTCTGTTTTTATTTTTCAAAAAACACACTTTTCGAACAAAGCCAATATCATCACAGAACTGAACTTTATGCAGCTGGTTGTGGAAGAAACACTGACCTTTCCTCGTCAATCATTGATATTCTTCCAAGCTCTTCAAGACCAGATAAGCAAGAAACTGAACATCAGATAAAATGCTAGGACTCCAGACTCTTCTCATCTCAGTTACAATTTGGTTCTGGTGCACTATCCAATCCAATCCAGCATTTAATCATTTCAACCTTCGCAATCATAACACGTTACATGCTCTCACCGTTCTCAAAGTGCCAAGTGAAAAACCCTAGTAGAAAGTAGTGTGCTCACAACCCAATGGTCGGACCTTTCACAAATAGATTTCCATATAGTGATCGGTTACGGTTGCTGAGAGCCTTACCAGAGCTGGTGATCACCAATGGACATCGGGATTTTATCACCAATGGACAACATGCCAAAGTCAACCATTGATCACATTAAACCTGCCAACTAACTAAAAATTAATCTAGTTCTTGGAATCACTTTGGAAAAATATATAACCAACTTTACACTACATCAAATCCCACCACAAGGAAAAACTAGCTGCACCCTAACTGTTCAAAATAAATTGGCAAACCAATTAGAGATGCATTCAGAAAACCAACAAACTGCCAGCAACACCTACCTATTTTGTAAGAGATAGCTACAAAATCCAAGGATTCTAGACATGTCTAAAATGGAACACAAAGGTTAAAGCCGAGTTTGCTAACCAATCCAAATTGTTTGAGAAGCATCAAAGATCATGAACAAATGTTTTTCCATTAAAAAAAAAAAAGAAAAAGGATTGCAAGCACAAAATTAAAAATTATCTCTAAACGAGTGAAATCTTGCAACAGCAAACAAGAAACAATAATACTGCTAAGGTCAAGGAACGAATTTTGTCAGAAATAAAAAATGTCAGAAACAATTCTCAAAAGTGAATTTTTTTTTATAAAACAAATAAATAAAAAACCTAGCAAAAAGGTTAAAAGAACAACTATGAGAGGAATGCATGGTATTAGCAGATCTCAAGGTTTCACATAGTGGCAAACCAAACATCTAGATTCACATCTACTTCAGATAGCTTTTAAGATTTTTGTTCGGATACTTGAAGATATACCATTTGAGTATATCCATTGAATACGGATGCCTTGAGTCTATTCAAACCAAGCCGCTGAAACAAGCCAAACCTTCCATCCTCAACAATGGGACTGGATGCACGAGCAGGATCGTATCTGGTTTGATGAGTAAGTGAAGGACCAGCCACCGGTGGGAGCTCCCAATAAACATCTAGCACTGATTCCACAAACCTGCTGTTCTTAATATGTTCTGCATACGTAATCACCTTATTACTGTGGTTAAAGTCATCTCGCATCTGTCCCCTAACACCCCACCATGTTTCACCGGGCCCACATAGTTCTTCTACATCCATAGCCTTCTCCCAGAACTCCTTCCTTCTCGATCTGATCCTAGCTTCATCACTATCTTTAAAGCAACTATGGCCACCACCTGGAGCCATAAAATACTAATATAAATATACAAACTCCCAAAACCAAATAATATCAACAAGCAATATGTCATATGTTCCAACCAATAACAGCAGAGAAAATAAAATAAAAAATCATTCTCTAAGTAAATGCTACAAGACAAAAACATGAGGAAATACTATAACATCTACAAACTCAACTAGTATAATCTCAAAAAATGCATCCTCATGCAAGATTTACTTTGAACTAATTTTTTTTGCTATTATTTCAACTTCGGCAAGCAAAATATAACAAAAACGTTGCTTCAATAAACAGGAGGCAAAAACTCACAATATCAACATCCTGAAAACATACTATTCTCTAGAGGTTCTGGAAGTCAGCAATTCAATTCTGGTTTTTCAAGTTGGTAAGGGTCGTAAAGTGTCTTCATCTACTCAAGAGAAGGGCTAAAGTACTCAAATTGATTCACACCTCTCACCTAACAATATTAAAGGAAAATCACTCCTCAATTGCTTGAAGCTAAATGAGAGCAAAGCTACAAGAGAATTAAATTCTTGTTTATTGAAGCAGCAAGGTAATAGAGTGCCTTTCATCTACCTTAGACAAGGGAGAAGAATGTACTCAAATTGGTTCACTCTCACCTAACAATATAAAGGGAAAATCACTCTTCAATTTATAGAGTTATGTGATAGCAAGGCTAAAAGAATTAGAAAAAAAAAAATAATTTGAGCACACAAATGGGCCTTTTTTTTCCAACTGAAGGCATTATATGAGTTCAACTATGATTAGACATTCTAATAGGTCAAAAAGATCAAAACCAAGCGTTGCAAACAAAATGCAACTTTTTTCTAGTAACAGCAGTCATGGGTTGTTTGTACCACACTAAAATGGATGATTGAAAGTTCTGACGATATAACCATTGGATTCCATTCAGGTATAGAAACTGAAGAAAAGAGGTAACAAAACAAAAATAGAGTGGTAGGCATACAACAATTGTTACATATGGATCCCTATATGCTCTCATAGGATGTTACAACTTACAAACAACAAGCACGTTAAGACCAAAGTAAGGATCATAAAGTCAGAATCACAGGACCCATTACCAAATTGGACAAAAAAAAGTAGTCACATGCAAAATTTTAAAAGACTTTATTTCGCCTCGCCTCAATGCTAACGTAATACGCATTCAGGCTTTGATTTTTAGGCTATTCTCCCAAAAGGCTTTCGCATCATAGCCTGAGGCATGCACCTTAGGTGTGCCTTGAGAAGTACGCATCTAAAGCGGTTGTCTTAGGCTCCAGTCAAATTTAGTCTAGTAGATGGTTTAACCTAAAAAATAAATAAATAAATAAAAAGAATCCCTTTTGCAACTATATTCTATAGGAAAAATTAAATAAACAACCAATTAAGAAAAAAATACAGAGTTAGTACTCAAGTGAGAAGCTCAATCCCTAAAGCTAAGAATGTCAATTTCATTTTCAATGAAGGCAAACTTTTTCCTTTAAACATTTACACCTTAAAGAAAAAAGTATTTACACCTTTATTATAATTTTTATATATTTTTTTTACTGTTTTGAATTATTTAATTTATTTACTAAACATAAAAATTTGAAATTTGAAATGCTTATGCCTCAATGCCTTAAGACTTACGCCTCACCTCATGAGGTGTAAAATGCTCGTGTTACGCGTTTGCCTTTAAAAACTCTGGTCACATGTAAGGATATATGAATAGAATATAAAAAAAGGCTTAACCATGTTTAACCAACAGAGACAATGAAGTTTTACATCTATATACATGCCCATGCAGACAATAACATAAAATGTTTCACTAATAATGAACTATTTTACAAAAGACTTTATAATCTTGGCAATGTGGTTATAGATAATCATGAAATATGGTTAGCAAAGATATGTCTAAAAGGTTCCAATCTCATTCTCTGTGGTTAACAAGTACATGTAAGGGAAACTGAGCAACTTATCCCAAAAACTAGAAGTAAGAAAATTCCGTATGCCTCTACAAAAAAGCATGGACACCTTTGCGGAAGAAGCATTTCATGTCTCACACCGACACTCTTTGGACACTCCTAAAAGAGTGTCTTTAATTAAAAGACCAAATTCATAATTTCGGTGACACTTTGCAGACCTTTTCACGACACTTCTTAAACCCTCCAAACATGTCCTACATAAAGAATTCCTCTCCATAATAACAATATTCAACATTCTTTATAAGACAATTTATGCACCATAAATATGTTTTGAAACATTTATTAGATGAATACATCATGTGTATAACAATATTCTATAATTGTTTCGCATTCTTTAAAATGTAATTGCTAAGTTAATGATATCTTGATCTTTAAGTTATGAACTATACAAATTTTTAATATAATTAGTATTTGTTACATATTTTTATTATTTTTTAATAAATTATTCATATATTTGATATAATAAATTTGTAAAAATATAAATTTTAACATGTCTCAAGAGTGTTGTGTCTTGCATTTTTTGAAAACCGGCATGTCAACATGTCCGTGTCGTGTCATATGTGCATGCAACTACAAAATGAATGGAAAGATAAAAGCAAAGTGACCGTCATTTTTGTTTGAGCACATAAAACCCATTCTGTACAAAGTTCCTGAAGTTGTTGGTCATGAACCCCTTAACCATGTCTCAATTGTTCATTTATTTGGCCAAAACTCAATTAACTGCTGGAGCATCTTTCATAGGTTGGGATCAGTTTCTCCATAACAAAATATTAAGTATAAACAAACTTTTGTGGCAACTATGCATGTTAAGTGATGTACATACTCTATAAATCCATTTTTAGTCCAAATATGACCTGCATTGATAGAAGATAAAATGGGCAAATATGCACCTCTTATATAATATTGGTCACATATCTGCCTGAAGGAATAATGGTCTCCAGTTCCAGTATCATAGTTGTCCTCAAAAACAAGATGCCTGAAGCCAGCTTTCAGAGCCTGCTTGAGCCTACACAACAGAGTATGATATGAAAAGAAAACATGATGTCACTTATTAAAATTTGTAATCCATTGATATGCAAAAGATAAAAATAGCGAACAACTTCAGATTTGCAAGTTTATAAATACATGCAAATGATAGCACAAGTAGTGTATTGAAAGAGATAAATTTGATTAATCTACAAAACATGATTACCGTTTTAATTCATTCTGGTGATCATCAAAGAAGACAAGAACCCGATTGAGATCTTCAATTCCATGTTTCTTAATTACGCTTTGCCAGTCAAGACTCCCAAAATCCACGAAGTTCTTTCCAGCAAAGTATGTGCAGTTCCCATCAACATAAGCAGGCCCCTTTTTTAGGTATTTTTCGGGATGGCAGGGTGAAAGTGACACAATGGGTTTGTCCGGCATTGCTTGCCGCAAAACCCAAGTTGAATGCCCCTTGAAGGCACCACTCTCAATCATCAGATCAGGTTTCAACCATCGGGCAATGAACCAAAGCCCAAAGCTGTGGTCAAAACCCATCCCATACATGTTGTTTTTGATAGGTCGTGTTTCATATATTGGCACAAACTCTTCCAAGCCCCTGAGTAAATCCTTGGATGTCCATTCAACAGTTTTTCCATGTTTCGATCTGCCTTTTGCCAAGGATAACAATTAAATGGGCACAAATTGTAAGAACTTTAGGACTTCATGCTCAAACATGGATTTCTAACTGATGAATCAACTTGTTAAACCAAAAGTATAAGATTCACAAATATATATCCTATTACAACTACTAAATTCAATGTCCAACAAAGAAACAACCAACGAAGAATAAAAATGAACAAAAAATGGCTTTTAAAACATGAAATCCATTAGGATGGGAAAATGAAACTGAATCTTCAAAAAAGAAAGAAAAATAAATAATCAGCCAGAAATTAGTGACTTGAAACAATGATTATGATTCCAACAAACATTCACAAAATCAGTGATCGTAACTTCCACAACATAATGTTTCAGCATTGCTAGAATGTTTCTTTTTGAGTGTTGTACTCTCAAATCATCTATGAAGCATGGGTACTTCGACAAACATGTCGTATCTGTACCAGGTACTGGTACTTCTGCATATATATCGAGTACACAAAACATGCATCTAAATTTTTTTTTTTTCTAAATATTTGCCTTACCACAAACGTACCTAGTATATATAAAATACCTGAGTCATGCCTCATTCGAATTAGTGTTTTTTTCTTTTAACAAATTAGTTTCGTTGGACTTTTTATTATTATTATTATTATTATTATTATTATTATGCGTAGTATGATTTAAAATTAAGTTATAGTTTGTAAGTTATTTAATATAATGACATTTAATTTCAGTTTACACCTTTACTTTTGGCACTAAATGTGAATTGTAGGTTGGATCATAACAAACAAGATCATTTAACCAATTTTTGCATTACTCTAAATTAAAAATATATATATATTTTTACAAACATATCTAACCGTACTTGTGCCCTATTTTTTTAGATTTTACTATATCGACATACCAATATCGTAATCATACTACATGCATGTTCTACATAACATTTGAAGATATAACTTTATTTTGAACAGTTCCATCAAACAAACTTTAAGTCATTATCACAACTCTAGGGTCACATGAATTAAGGCCTTTCAATATTGGACAAGCATTTTTTTCCCAAGTGCTACGGCATGCACCTAAAATTTCAACCACAATGATTCATAACTTCTATCAATTTGAGTCATACCAAGCTAAATTGATTCATAACAGAAACACTCCAAAAGTTTCATAACTCAGACTATTTTGGTTCTTAACAAAACACCACAAAACCTAATAACCAACGTCATTTCAGTTCATAATCAAACACTTCGTAGTAGGAAAATCTTACCTGGGTGGTGCTTCTTACTGAGAAAAGCGATTTCGTACTCCCAACCCAAGTAAGAAACTTACAAGAAACTCACTCCCGTCAAGGAAGAAAATCACCCCAAACGAAGATACTCGAACATACAAATCTCAAAGAAACAAAAGGAAAATAACTCAGATTTATTATCATACGTGCTATTTACATAATATTTATTTATAATTAACAAAAACAATTTGTAGTTAACATCAATTTCCAATAATAATTCATATTTAACACATATTATAACTAACTAGAAAAAATAAATAAAAAATATTAGAATATATTTATATATATATATACATATATAATATAACAGGTAAATATTATAACTAACTAGAAAAAATAAATAAAAAATATTAGAATATATTTATATATATATACATATATAATATAACAGGTAAAATATACACATGCTTCTACCCCGCCGCAACTAAGATCAAACACTAGAAAATCTCATCCCGAAATCAGTTTGACTAAACCAAAAATACCATAAAAGCCTCGTAACTAACCACTACAACAATTATAACTATACACCAACATCATTCATAACTAAGAGCTTCTTCACTAGTTAAAATAGCAAGAAGTCCCAAAATCACCTCTCCAATAATGAAAGAAAACCATTGCTATAATTTAGCATTGTTATTCCTAATGTTATATTTGGCACAAAAAATAACAATAGGTAAAATTGTCAACTCATCAAAAGGAGGGAATGATAATGAGTAGTTGTGATTAAAGGTAGAAAACCACAAATCAAACGTTGTGATTAAAACAAGAAAATAAAGCAAATACACTATTGGAGCAACACATGGACTCAGGTACGAATATCGGGTGTGGGTGTATATCCAAGCGTCAGACCTTCACAAATTTAAATCTTAGGATCATGGATACGTATCCAAAATTGGATATGGGTGTCGGAAAGTGTCATATACACATATATATTGCATATTATTTAATATTCTCAAATGAAATGTTGTAAATTATATAGAAATATATTTGAAATTGAATAGGATTAAGGAAAAATATGAAATTTCTATATTTAATTCATGTGAGAGGCTAAACATATTGCTTTACTAGCAAATGCGAGTTTGTTCTTCTCATATATTGTAACAAATTAAAGGACTTAAGTGTCTAAATTGGATACGAGTATCGAACCCATATCCCACACCCTTACCCATACCATATCCAGTAGACACGGATATTGTGGGGGAATAAAAGAGTCTATGTAACATAGACATTACTAAATTATAGTAATTTTTCACTATTCATTGCTAAAACAGGGCAATAGCTAGTGTTTTAGCAAATAAATCGTTAGAGATGCTCTAAGACCACAAATCTTCCTAACAGTGTATGGTACACATACCAAACAATTTTTCCTCTTTTTATTTATTTATTTCCTAATGGTTATCATTTTCCATAAAAGCCCACAATGTAGTACATAAGTTTGCTTAAAAAACACAATTTAATGTCAATAACGCCTTGAAACTATTGGCCCTGGTTTGATTGGGTGGATAATAGCATATTATTGGGATTATTAATCCATGAGATTCACATTCCATTGTTTGATTGCAAATTTTATTATACTTAATAAATTCCAATGGCATTCTATCCAACTGATGAATCTTTTAATCCTACAACTAATAACGCAAAACACACATATAATTGGGATTACATATTTCCATATCTATTGTGAACAAACTTGGACAAGAGTATCTAACTAATCCAACTGGATAACCTGTTAATCCTGTCACTATTAATCCCGCTAATCAAACAAGCAAGCAGTAGTTTCATCAGTTTTTTACTAAAACTGTGCAATAGCAAACAACTGAAAACACAAACATTTCAAAACAGCAAACAAAATTACATAATTTAAACATGAGATTCAAATTTCATTATACTACAATATTTCGCTCCATTTTCTCAGCAATCAAACAGGCAACAACTCCATCCGAAATATGCATACCAGTAAGCAATTCCGAAAGTTGATAATTCAGATCTGAGAAAACCCTAACAAAACAAGATCGGCACGAAATGCAAAAAGCTCACAGATCAGATCACAGAGAGAGAGAGAGAGAGAGCTTACACCAGGGCACGCCGAGGGATCCGAAGTCGGATTCGAGTTCGCCATAGCCGAAGAAGCGGAAGCGAGAGATCGGATCAGAGACGCAGACCAGATTGCGAGAGTGAATAATGAGAGAGTAGACTAAGAGGAGAGAGATGGAGAGGATGAAGCAAGGGTAGAGGTAACCGGTTCGGGTGAAGTAGTTGGTGGCTCTGATGAAGGGTGAGATGTGCTTCCTGGTCTTCGACTCATCGTCGCCGTCGTCTTCGTCTCCTTCGCCGCTAAACTGCGCTGCCCTGCGCGCAGAGAGCGCTCTCTCTAGCATTTTTGGGCTCATCATCTCAATGGGGACACTCCAAGCATCTCACTCGTTGTGCTTCAGTTCCAATATTAAATTATAACTATGAAAAGCACAACGAGTTTTTGAGTTTTTAGAAATAAAAGAGTTGCTTGACATGGGTTATATAAGTATAATTTTTAGTTCTTAACAATCATAGAGATTATTAATTTTAAAATTTTAAAAAAATTATTAATGACATGATACTTAATAAAAAAAGAAAAAAAATATAATATCAAGATTAAAATATTAAATCATTTCTGGGATCTATTATCACATCATTAGTAATAGCATTAATTAGTGCTCTCACTTATTTTTCTTTAATTTTTTAAGTAAAAAAATGGAGATAAAAAAAAGATTAATTAAGAGAATTTTTTATTAAAAAAAGATTAATTAAGAGAATTTTTTATTAAAAAAAAAACGACATTGTTTTTTTTTATTTTTTTTGCGACAGAAAAAAGTACTAGAATTTATTCAAACCATTTTTTGACTGTATATATATGAAGCTGTCTCAAAACCACAATCACTATGCTACGTTAGAGTTTTCCGAAAACTCTTTTGAGAAAATTATACTTTCTTGTTTTCCGTGTTATATTGTTTTTACTGAATTTTTTTTAAATATTTTTAAGTAATTTTTTTATTTTTAGACACACTTAACATAAATACACTTAAAAGTAAAAAAATTATAAAAAAAATATTTTAAAAATTTGCTAAATGCCAAAAATATAAAAAATACAAAAATTCAATACATTTTTATATTTTTATGTATTTATTAATTTTTTAAAATATTTTTTCACAAATTTTTTATTTTTTAGATACATCTAACTAAGGTGCATCTAAAAAAGTAAAAAAATGTTTAAAATTTTAAAAATATTCACTAAAAATAAAAGAATACAAAAATCAAAAAATTCAATTTTTAAAAAATTTAATCCAAAAAACTCAAACCAAACACACTAATTATTTTTTTGACGTTGCTTTCCAATCGTGGTCTACACTGGGTATGTTTTGAAAAGTTTTTTTTTTTTTTTGTTTTTGGCAGTGGTGGACGTGATGTCTAGTAAACCTATGCCTATGAACCTATTTTTTTCACTCTTTGACTTATATGAATATGTGTTTGGTTGTGGTTTTTTTAATACGATTTTTTGAGAATTTTATATAATTTGTTGGGTTATTCTAAAAATAAGTTATGTTTTCAAAAAAAATATATAAGACATGATTCTTCACGTGATGGGAATAGCTTAGGCTTTAGTACAATCTACTTGTACTCCTCTTCATAGCCTAGGCTTTAGCCTATGGTACATATGGGTACATTTTTCTTTTTTTATTATTTACACAGACAACCCAGAACTATTTATAAAAAAGTGATACAGTTAATGGTAAGATATATATCCATAAATAGGTACATGTCACATTATGTTTTCATAAAACCAAGCATGTATATATATATATATAATATACCTAAGAGAATGTTTTGATGTGAATTTTTTGTGTTTTTTTAATTGTTTCAATCATTAACTTTGAGGGAAATTTGAAATTGTAATGATGCATTTTTTGGAAAACCAAACAATAATTTTTTTTAAAAAAAAAAGAGTTTTCAAATCACTTTTTCAAAAAAAAATTCAAAAAAATGCAACCAAGCATAGTGATTAATTTTTTAAGTAAATTATACTTATATCCCATGAGGTTTAGGCTTAATATATATCACCCCCTGACGTTTGAGAAATTATACTAACTCCCATGTCATTGTAATTATTTAGACGGAATGAAGACATTGAACTCATGCACTCTTTCTCTTTTTTTTTTGCTTTACTTTTTCTTTTTTTTCCTCTTTTCATTTACTTTTTTTTTTAATGTAATTTCTTCTGTTTTTCTGCTAGGAGTTGTTACATTTTATATAAGCATAGGGGTTTGTGAAATGAGACTATTAACCACAGAGGTGGGAATGTAATTTCCAAAACGTTAAGGGGTGGGTAGTTATTGGGCCAAACCTCAAGGGGTGTTAATGTAATTTATCCTAATTTTTTTTGTAATTTTTTTACTTTTTATCTTTTATAGAGTATTCCAAACAAGCACAAAATATGTACAAAAAAAATAGAGAAAGCGGGTAGTAAAGTAAGGAGGAGATGTTGATAGATATTGATTGATGTGACTCAAATAAATATATGTATAAAAAAAAGTGCACTTTCTTAGTGCATGCACTAAAAAAATAGGTGTTTGTCATACACTTATTTAAGTCACATCAATCAACATCTATCAACATTTATTAACATCTTCTCACTAACTTTCTACACATTTTCTCTACTTTTTTACCATTTTTTTTTTACAAAAATGCTTTAGAGCTCTAATATAGGAGCTCTAATAGCTCTAATGGGAAGGTGGATCCTACCTTGATGTGATGTTTGTGCCTTGTTTTGTTTTTTTTGTTTTTGCTTTGACACATCATTAGAGCTCAAATTAGAGCTCTATATTTAGAACTCTCTATCATTTCCCTTTTTTTTATATAAAAAGTCAAAAAGTACACTTATTTAGAACATCCCAAACCACCCCTAAATAAAAGGTAAATTACACTTTGCATACCTGCACGTTGCACCAAATCTAGTTAACCCCTTATATTTTTACTTAAATCACATTTTGATTCTTACACAAGTGTTAATGTCCTTTTTCTGTTATTTTTTTTAAAAAATTTAACAAAATCCAGTCATGTAACAAAAATATGACTACGAAATGAGAGTAAGAAATGAAAAGCATCCATGTTTCCCACCAATATATTTTGTCCTACATGATAAGCACATGAGAGTTATATTATACATATATATATGTTCGTATGGTAAAAATTGAGACGAAAAGACAACAAAGTAGAGCTTTTGAAATAATAAAAAAAAAATGCAATAAAAAAATCAAAGAAAAAGAAAAATGAATAGACAAAAGATTATGATATCATAAAAATAGAGTTTCATGATTCCAATTTATGCAAAACTCTAGTTCATCTTCTTAATTATTCACAATGTACATTTTGTTTTATCTAATATAATCAACTTTTAATGTACATTTTGGGATAAAATGTGTATTGGTAGAAAATGTAGATGATTTTCCTTTCTTATCCTTATGTCGTAGGCACATTCTTATCACATGGTTAGATTCTGTTAAAGATTTGAACAATTGAGTAATAGAAAGGAGATATTGACAGTTGTGTAAGGACCAAAATAAGATTTTATCAAAAGTACAAGAGTTGACTGTAATAATTTCATGTGTAGGGGGGCCAAAGTGAGATTTGACTAAAAGTACAAGGGATTGACTGTCATAATTTCAAGTGTAGGGGTAAAAGTGAGATTTAGTACAAAATATAAGGGGTGCAAAGTATAATTTACCCATTAATTAACTAGTTAGCTTAGAGCATATCTCACTTATCACTATTTTTCCAAAAAAAATAAAAATAAATTGGTGATACTTCCTTAAAAATAAGTTCATACAAAGTTGGGCAAACATTCATCCAACTCGTTCAAATCGAATGATTTGAATCAATTCGTCACGAAATAAATGGAGTCAATGGTCTAAGCAGATAGATTTAGATGTATTTTTTTCAATTTGTCTAAGTTCGGACCAATAGCAGATGAGAGACCGCCAAACCTAAACTGATTTGCCAACACTTTTAAAAAACATAATGTTATACTTTCATATTTTGTGTTATATTTGCTGTTTTTAAAATATAAAAGTTTGATTTTTATTTTTATTATTAACAATGAACAATTAAAATTTTTGGCCCAAATAAAACCCAAAATAGTAAAAATATTACTTCAAAATAATTTTAAAAAACGTACAAAATAGTAAAGCTCAATTGCCAAACCAATCCACATATATTTTTCAATCCGTACAGTTCGTTCAATTCGTATCGGCTAACTAAGCGGATGGATGCAAATTGATTTTTTCTAATCAGCCTAGGTTTGGGCTAATTTTAAGGATTCAAAAAAAGTATTCGTAGTTTTATTTATAAGAAAAATGATGTAAAATGATTTAAATACCTATTATTTAGGTATCAATTTCTATTAAAATAAAAAAAAACATTATTAAGCTACCTAAATTTTAATTCCTCTAAGTCATATTCTAAAAGGTACTCGATTCATAAATCCAAATCTAAATTTTATTTGTCCAAAAGTCTACCCACTAAAACATTATGTCCATAAGGACATACTTGCCTCTGAAGACCAAACTACCCACATACATATACCTATCAATCTACGTGTGTTTATCCTGATCTGTTCAAATTGAAAATCAAACTCTCTTTCTCTAAAACACACAGAACCCACACTATCTCATTCTCTTCTTTCTCTTCTTATTTAGGCTTTTCACAACCCTCTCTCTCTCTTATCTTTCTCTCTCTAGATTAACAAAGAGCTTTGGATATGCCAATGAGGTCTCTTCACTCCAATTTGATCCTCCAACTATCTGTATAATCAATAGCGACATCGATGCATCGGTGACTCCTCTGTCGCTCACTTCCTCTGCTTGTACTCCGACCAATCTCTTCATCTGATGGCTACTGTTTCCCTTGTTGGCCGCACCTTCGAAGCTAGAGCTTCCATATGCTTGTTCGATGATGATTGCTTCATCTCTTTACACAAGCGCGAGTCTTCAGTGGATCGCTCGGAAGAGGCGCCACTGCTTGTCGCGATCAATTTTCGAATGGAGCAGTGATCGGGTCGTGCATTAGCGAGAGAGATTTACGATGGTGAGTAGCTTCGGGGGGTTCTCGATGGGGATGGGATCTAGGATTTAGTGGTGATCGAGATCTTTTTTCCATTAGAGAAGAGAGAGAGAGAGAGCTCTTGCTTACCAAAGAATTCCAAAGCCGACAAACACCTAAAGAAACCATCATGGAAAAGCTCGATATCCACCACTTTTCTCTCTCTCTCTCTCTCTAAAATCTTCAAATCCAGCATCTATGGAGGCACCAGACCTGTTGTTTCTCTAACCTCTACCAAAGTCTAATCTAAGCCATCTCTTTCTCTCTCTCTCTCTCTATGTGTGTGTGTGTGTGTTTATAGTAATAATTTCATAAAGATAATATATATGTTATGTAATTATAGATCCAT